TTAATTTTTTTGTATTCATGTTGAATGCCTGTGTTATCATTGTTGCATATTAACGAACCAAATCCACCTTTCACCTGTAAATTAACAATTACATAATGCGATCCTACATAATGCGGCGTGCAGGTCTGGTCAGAACGAAGTTTTTCACACCTTTCTCAAAATAAATACTGGACATAGCTCGAGGGCCGAAAGCGCCGTGTTTTATCATGCCTTTGAAATTGTTTGCCTTGACAACGATATACAGTATATTGAAAAAACTGAGCGGACTTCCTTCCAGCTCGAAAACTTATTACCACGGTTTTATTTGTAAGCGCATACTGTGTCTTGCAAATATTAGGATTTTCACAAACTGTGTGTGAAAATCCAAATATTTTCAAATTTAATGAACTTATAAACCGAATAATGTAGAATAATTAAAAAACCGTTGTCCAAAAAATGCTAAATGCTAAATTTTGATAAGCCAAAATTTAATTAGAAAAGTTTCATATAACAGTATATGACCTTCTTGAAACCTCCATTATATAGTTAATAATATATTTTACAGATTATACTTTTACGTTTACTTTACGTATACGTTTACTTCTTTGTTTTCTTGTTTCTTTATACATTTGTCTATTTTTTTTTACCCTTGACTTTTATTTCTGTTTGTACATATGTATTCATGTACCTCTTGTAGATGTGATCTTGTTTAGAGTGATAAAAGAATTGAAATTGAATCATTCTGGACTTTGGATTGCCAACTCATTTATTAAAATTAATTATTTTCCCCAATTTTACATATGCTCGTCACATTGAAGTTTTCTTATTTTAAAAAATTATACAAAAAATTAATATGTCTTGTCAAATTAAATAGCTGAAATCTTACCAAATACCTATATCAAAAGAGGATTGAGGAGAGAAATAGTTAATGGTGGTTTCGAAGGGACTATTTTTACTAAGTTCATGGTTCATACAGCTCTGACCTTTTTATTCTTCTCCGAAACGGAGTTAGAGACAGGCCCGAAGGAGGCAATTTCAGTTGGGGAGGGTGAGCTTATGCTTTCAGTATATTCATTTGGGGGCACTATCCAAAAAACAAAACAAAACAAACAAACATTCAAAAATGCTCGGGATGCTCTGCTCTACGGTGCTCTTTTCCTCTATAATTACTCTACTGAAATAAAAAAAAGCTGTGTCTTATTTCACAACAGAATTTTTACTTAGGCCATGTCTTATGATTCAGATCAATAATTTGAACTCTGTTGAAAATTTTTGAAATAAACATATTTGAAAATCTTAATGAGAAAAAGATTGATTCTATTTTTGAGTTGATATATTGAAGAAATTCTTTTAAAAAATATATTCTTGTGTCACTTTTATATGAATTCTTTTGTACTAAAAGGGGAGCTAAACCCTGTGCAACTCGGCCATAAATTCACTTATTTGTTGTCCCGTACTTTATTTGGTCATTAAGAAGTGAGGAATCTTTTTTTCTTATCAACACCTATTGCGACATGATACCTCGCTTTATACGATCTCATCCGAAGGACTTATCTCCAACATGCTGCAGTATGATTCGAACCCTCGTAGGATCAACGTCTTACTCCGCGACTCTAGAGCAACCACTCTTATTCTTCTAACCTTGATCACGAGTTGTTCATAAAAAAAAGTATTAACAAGTGTAGAAGTCTACACTTTTATAGCTAACACTAGAACTACAGGACACATTAATGTTAAAATTATTATATTTTCTTTCTTTGAGCAGGGCATCTCGAACGTAGGAGTAAAAATCAGCTCAGAAAAGGTAATAAACATCGTAAGGTGCATGCAGTACAAATAATACTGTACCTACTTGTACGCAATTACCATCTTCTGAGGTAATATATAAAGCTGACCGCCAAGGGTCCTGATTAAACATGGACAGTGACACAGAAAATGGACGTCTTACTCAGGACTGTCTACCGATTAAGGTAAGTGGACAGACGTTTCCTCATGGGGACAGGATTAACGATAGTACTAGTATAATGTTTCGTTGCAAAAGATTAAATTAATTCTCTTTGAAATATCACCTGGAGATGAAAGTTTTACACAAATAAATAATGCATTGATTTACAACCTTGACATTTTGACCTCATAATAAATAGGGGTCTTTTTAGGCCGTAGGGAGTTATGGTATAAGATTTCACTGCAAAAGCTACACAAGGTTAGCTTTTTTAAAAAAGCTGAGTGTCAGCCACTGGAATACAGAAAGTTTCTTTCTTGTTTTGTAATGGTTTATGATTTGATCTATCCATCATGTTGTGTTCCTTAAATTTATGTAATAAATGCCATTGTAAGAAAAGTTAAATTAGTGTAATCGTTTTCTTATTTGTAACATAATGCCACATACATAATAAATAATAAAGCATAAAATAATTTTTTTAATTCTGCATCGTGACCATTACAATGATCTCCAATAAATTCTCTTCGGCGCAGACATCAGAGAAAGTTCATCTTATACCGGTAAATGAACAAAAGCCACCATGGCAACTAAGATCACGTTAAATTCTATAAAAATGATATGCAGATTATGATGAATAAAAGGAAGGTAGACTTTGTGTTACATATATGAACACCCTATCATATGTCATTTCTTTAGAAATTACCATTGAAGTTGATTTTTTTTTAAAAAGGTCAATCGTGAAAGTCAAGGTTAAGGGGTGAGAAATCATAGCATGCTCAGAATTACCTTGTCACAGGTAATGCACATGTCAAGTATGAAAGCCCTACATGTATCTCTTCTCAATATAAGGAACAAGATGTGTTTGTGAAACACTGATGACAACGTATGACAACGTAACGAAGATTAAAATTTTCTTAAAGCAAATTTAATACATTATTACCCAAAGTAGGGTTTTTCTCACAAGAAACACGATTGTGAAATACAAAATCCCTAGCATCACCTGTTCAAAAGTTATGGTCGAGGATAAATTTTTGAAAGGTAGGTCAAACTCCAAGGTGAAAGGGTCTGAGTTGTTAGTTTCTTAAGAAAGGTCTTTTGACAAGTAATACATAAATGTATGAGTTGGATGAAAATCCCAACCGTTCAAAAGTTATGGCCAAGGTTTAAGTTTTTTAAAAGTAAGTCAACTCCAAAGTCAAATCAAAGGGTTAAAGTTCTTGGTATCCAATGAAAGGTCTTCTCACAAGGATTACATATCTGAAGTACGAAAGCCGTAGCCCTTACCGTTCAAAAGTTTTTTCATAAGTGCGTAAATCTCCAAGGTCAAGGTCAAAGTTGTTGATATCCAATGAAAGGTCTTGCCACAAATACATATGTGAAATATGAAAGTCCTAGTATCTACCGTTCAAAAGTTGTGACCAAGGTTTTTAAAAAGTGAGTCAAACTCCAAGGTCAAAGTCAAAGGTCTTGGTATCCAATGAAAGGACTTCTCACAAAGATTACATATGTGAAGTACGAAAGCCCTAACCCTTACAATTCAAAAGTTATGGTCAAGGTTAAAGTTTTTTCATAAGTACGTAAATCTCCAAGGTCAAAAGGTCAAAGTTGATGGTATCCAATAAAAGGTCTTGCGACAAAGAATACATATGTGAAATATGAAAGTCCTAGAACCTACCATTCAAAAGTTATGGCCAAAGTAAAAGTTTGGAATTTTTGTGTTAAAGTGGGTCAAACTCCAAGGTCAAGGTCAAACTTGGTGGTACCCAAAGAAAGGACTTGTCACAAGGATTACACATGAAAGTCATAGCTCCACTAAATCAAAAGTTTTGGGCAAGGTTCAAGTTTTTGTGACGGACGGACAGCTAGACAGACAGACGGACAGACGAATGAGATTTAATGTCCCTCGCTTTCGCGAAAGCGGGAGACAAAAAACTGCTAAAAATTGAATACTGGTTTTTGAAACTTTTTTTTTGGTATGATGTCGGCACGGTGCTTGCTCCTTGTTGGATCGGAAAATTAAGTGTTCGAATTACTGTGGCCGCGACTGGACCTAGTTGATAAAAAAGTAGCAACTGTTGCTTCGTCAAGCGCTCTACACTTTGAAGTGAACGTTTTGGACCTTTCGGATGAGACCTTAAAAACCGAGGCGCACAGACATGATAAAGAACCCTCAATACTCTACGTCCCTGAGACTTGTAAAGGTCTAAATTTGAAGCCCTTAACTGGTATATGGTGACGTCTATAAATGAGTGAAAAATTCTTGAACGGGACGTAAAACAACAATCAGTCTTTCTATGATATTTTAGAGTATTCTAATATGTTCATAAAATTTGTAATTTTTAGTGAAGAGCAATTTGTGATCCTGTTCAGGGCAGGATGTTGACCCCATAGTCGCCATTTTAAAGTTACGTGCGACTCTCAACCGCTTTTGAGATAATACAAACGCTAAATAAAGCAACAAAAATAAAACGAAGTTTTATCTTTATAAAATAAACATTAGTAGTAATGACTTTGAAAACTTCATAAGTCAAAGAACATAATTCATTAGCGTAAGGATTTTTGATAATCAGTGTTACCGTAGTTCTCTACACATACGAGGTAAAGCAGGAGAGGGAACCAGACTGGCCTGTTTGTTTACATTCAGCTGCGGTACCAGATTAATTCTGATTCTGACAAAATCGGACCGTGGTATTAGGATTGAAAAACTCACTGTCAATGTCTTATCATTTTTATTGATAGTTTTAAAATAATTTTTTCATCAGAATATAAACGTGATTATTTAAGAAATCCATTTCTCTGTAAATATGTTCATAAAATTTGTAATTTTTTAATGTAGACAAGTCTTATGATATAACAGGGAAGATAATACAGTTACCTTAAAAGGTAATAGACCAACGCTCCTTTGTGAAATTTTATTCTGATAAAAAATTAAAATATCAGCTACATTTTATATATTACGGTAAATGTAAGTTACTGTATATATTTGGTCGTTTTTTTTCAACTGCATAATTATCCTATTGAAATTGCGACTGCTTTATTGTATGGTGGTGAACTATTATGGTAGATGAGCCTTTCTTATCAAGACAGCTGTCGTCTTTGGTATGAAGATCTGATATTAATATTGGGACAAAATGTGGGAACGACCCCTTGTACTTTGTGTTGTCGTAATTCTATTCACCAGTGTAACTTCTCTGACTTCGTCTGAATTTGAAGCAAAGGTAGATGATACCATCAATAAGGTAAGAAGGTCGTAATTTCAACTTCAGAAAAGCTAGATGAAGATTCGTTAAAACATATCAGACACAAATAAAGATGTGATTTTAGGGAGATATATGTATAATTTTTTTTTATAACTTCAACTACAAAAACAATTCTTATTCAGACTGCAGTCTAGTAACATTTTCCCTTTCGATGAACGTTTACATGGCATGACCAATATGAATAAAAAACATGACAGACTTCGAAAATATAACTAAAATGAAATATTTTCGTTGGATTTTGTAGTAAATGTAGAAAGATTTCAGCAGGTTTTAGAAAGGACGAAATATGAATACCGCACATCGTTTACTACAAAAGTTTAGTACACTTATTGGTACAGGCACTTAAATGCCATCCTAAGCATCCAGGATTGACCATTAGTGTCGTGAAGGATGGAAAGCTATTATTTGCCAAGGGATATGGCGTCACAGACATCTCCTCCAACGTGCCAGTTACGAATGAGACGCTTTTCCAAATCGCTTCCATGTCGAAGGCATTCGCTGCTACACTTCTTGTTAAACAACTACACCAATATTCGAAGTAAGAAACTTTAATTGTTGAATATTTATCAACAAGGAGTCACTAAGCCGAATCTACATGTAGCTGATTTAAAATTGCTTTATATAGGGTTCAACTTAAAAATTTCCTAAATATTTTCTTGTTTTGAATTAAAAACTCTCAATATCTAAAAAAAAAAGTCATCAATTATTTCATCTCAAGTCATGCATATTCATTGAGGTATGTTGAACACCAACATTGTTTTTTAAAAGTATCACAAAATATTTATTTTCCAGTTTGAGTATTTACACAAAGGTGAAAGACTTCATGGATCCCGGCTTCAGGTTCTCCACACATATTCGAACCGATAACGCTAACTTAGTGGACCTCATGTCACACACTTTAGCCATTCCTAGCAACAGCTTTCTGAGACTCGACTCAAACCTCACACGAGAAAACTTGCAAAAGTATGATAAGTCATATTTCTACCATTCTCAGCTTTCTGCATATATAAAAACTGACAAGCAAGCTGACATTTTTGAATGGGATTTAACTTTTTTTTAAAAAAAATAACTTCATTCTTTTTAGACGAATACCATATCTTAAGTCCATACATGCTTTTCGGACAAGTTTTGTCTACAGTAACCTGAACTATGCATTAGTTACCTACATATCTGAGAAGCTTGGTGGTAAGAAATGGGAGGAATTGATCCGGGAGGAACTGTTTCAGCCTCTGGGAATGGACAGTTCCAACTTTGTAACAACCATTTCTGACTTCTCCAAAGTGGCAACAGGCTATGAGAGTGGCCCAGATTCTAGAGTAGTGCCATCCCAGCGTGCATTCAGCCGGTAAACATGGCATTATATAGAATCGTTAGTGATAAATCCTGGGTGTCTGATTCAGCATTTTCCTTGATTTTGACAATATTCAAGGTCAATTTAAAAAAAATACCAAGCTAATACAGATTTTGCATGACTTTCACATAGAAGTAGAGAACTTTCTCTTTTACAGATTGACTTTGAAAGCGTGGGTTTTTTGAAAAATCCTGTTCGTTGCCTAGCAACAAAATTGGCTGTTTTGATATCTAAAAAGGGAAAAATGGTAAAAGGTTGGGTCAAAAAACTTATATATTTTTATTTATTGTGGCAGATACAATTTTTCAAGTAATAGAAAATAACTCTCATATAATCATAAAAGGAAAGAATAATTCATAATCATTAATCTCCATGGCAACAGGATTTTTTCCCTAGCAACAATGCAAAAACTTATTTTTTTTTTACCTTTTTGGTATAGATTTTGATATATACGAATAGATATTTTTTCTTAAAACTGCGATTGGGTATAAATGTCAATTTAATATGTGTCTGATAAAGTTATTTTGGTACTTTATTAACCTTGAGAAAATTCGGACAGATAAAGCAGAGAGCTACAGATCCAAGCGTTGTAAAAACTTTCGATTTACGCCGACGATTTTTTATTGTAATTGTGGCTCTGTATACCACCTTTTCCTTACCTACGTCGGTAGGCAACATCTCCAGAATTTAATTTTTGAAGATTCATGAGATTATGAACTACGACGCTTCACGCCGGCATATTTCATGAAGCGCGTTAGGGATCGAATACTTGTCACTGTTGAAAGTTATGAAGACAATTATTTTCTTTAACGGGATCATTGGTTGCCGTGTTGAGTCTGTCAAGTATAAATCTACAATGCGTCTTAATTTTCACCAATTCATTATTATATTTTTATTTCTAGAAACTTAAATTTATGCCGCCTTCGTCTCTGTAGTTTTTTTACACCTAACATTTTCTCTCTTTTCTTTTTGCTCTGTAAACCTTCACATATATATACAGTAATGTTTCACACTTTGTATTAATCGAAATTGATTTTAAGAAGTCTTCCTTTTTATTCAAAGAACTTTGATCCCCAATGACCAGTTTATTATGATTAAAATGTTTTACCGTGTATTATATCTATTTTCCGTGCTCTGCTTGAGAAACAAAATATATTCGTTGATCAATAAATCACTTCCACAACTTTTATTACACTTCAACTTTTTTGTACACTCTTCCACTTCTTTTTCTGTTATAGTAGAATCCAATGAATCAAAAATAGGCTCATGATTTTCAAAATAGGTTTCAATAGAGATGTAACTTGCAGGTGCATCATTAGATAGAGAGCGGAAATGATCAAAGAAATCCGAAAGTGAAATTTTCGATTCAGAATGTGTCCGCTTGCGGAAATGCTTATAATCGTAACGCAAAAGTTATTAGGGTTCGCGTTATAAAGCGCGAAAGTTACGCATTTTTAAATGCATTTATTTACAAAAAATTCGCGATTCAATGGATTTTTTTAACCTACATAAATGAATTCAATGGGCTTTCGTTAAATACAAAACTCTCAAAGTAAAAAAAAGAAAAAAGAAAGAAAAGAAAACAAGCACGATTTCTTTGAAAAATCCGATAGAAAATGGAAATCAAGAAGCGTTGAGTGGGTGTTATAAATAATTATACAATGAAAAACTGATGAAAATTTCAAATTAACATATTAAAGTCGTGTCTTGATGTTTAAAACGTGGCTTAATGGAGTGCGCGCTCAACAAGCCCACAGGCTACAGAAGATATTCACAAATTGATTTTTTTTTTAAAATCCTGTGACAGTCTTTAATAGTATAACCTTTCCATCACATACCAAAACCGAAAAAGAAAAGAATCGGAGGAAATTGCTAATTTTGTGACACTACGAGTAACAAAAATGATTCCACCCACGTCCCCTTTGTTATCTTCTCTAATTATGGTCATTGACATCTACAAAACAGTGACGAACTAATCAATGAAGTGTACCCAATAGTTCAAATAAGACATCAGTAACACACATCGTGTATAATAGCTTTAGTATTGTAAAATATTTGTTCTTACAAGTTGAAAATGTCCTTTCGCTCATCAAATTCCGTTACAACAGAAGGTTAACGAGACTCAATGCTCACTTCAGTTGGCATCGCTTGAGATTTTTTGCGATATTAATCAGAGTTGTGAAATCAATTAATGACATTTTCTAATTTAATTCACTCTGCTTTCTCCCATTCAATAAAACAAGAGGCCCATGGACCACAACACTCACCAGTTTCACTTTGGCCCTGCTGTTTTGCAACAGATTTTCCCCATTACATTTGTATTCCTACGTAAAATTGTGATCGCATTTTGTGGCTCCACCCTAGACACAGGGGGTTGTGATATGTACAGAATTAATAAACGATTCCAGAGAATATTTCCACATGAATACGATTGATCATGGCTTTGTTAGAGGCATTTTAATTATTTTTTTTTACCATATATAACCCCAGTTGTGTCCCAACCCTACCCCAAGGTACCATGATCTGAACAATTTCCAATCTTCAAGACTTAAGAATGCTTTCACCTCAGTTTAATTTTTTCTTCTCCGGTAGTTCTTGAGAACAATTTAACATTAAAACAATTCAAAATCTACAACACCTCAGGAAGCTTTTACCTACAATTTTAAGTTTTTTTCCTTGTCCAGTGTATCTAAAAAAAAAAAGGTTCGTTTCTGAGCTTTTGGGCAGATTTTTTGTTTGAACCTCTATCTTCAAAAAATTTTCTGCAGTTGCATAAGGATTAAGTTCTTGTAATAAAATTAATTTTTACGATTATTATTAAACAATATTCACTTAAATCCCAATGATTAAATTCCATTACAAAGCATTGAGTGAGGAATCATCTATATTTTATTGCGAAAGGATTTTTTTTTATTAGAAAAAGATCAATTTTTCTCTTTCAAAGTATTTACAGTACCTTTGAGTGTGGATTCCTATTTTTACATGCAACCTACATGAGAGATGTTTTGAGCAGTGAAATGTTTTTATAATGCTGGTCCTAAAATCGTCATATTTGACAAATATAGCAAATATATTATGAAAATCCCGGAAAAATAGTCAAAATTAGGCTTAAAATTTTTATATCTTTTTTGTAATATCGAAAAAATATCATAGACCTCCACTATTTTTATTAGATAATATAACATAATTTTTAAGATATAAGATAGTTTTTACCATTCTGCCTCAATTAAGAGTTAAATGTTGTTACTTTTGGTTGATTTTATTGCTTTATTTTATTGCTTGTTAAATGCCAGGAAAAAAAACAATATTTTTTGAGTGCAGGAAGGTCAAATAATTGATTTCGAGGATGAAAAATAAATTGAAACTTTTTTTTCTTTTGTCACAAATTTGAACATGACTATTTACTGGCAAATGAAAATAAGACTGCATTTGCTCCAACATTTTATTTTCATAAGAAATATTATTGAAAAAAAATCGATTTATATATTAGACTTTATTACAGTGCAAAAAGGTCATATATTCTTCTTGGAGTCAAAAAAGTACATTGACCCCCTTTTTTGTCTTGATTTTAATTAAAGGGGCCTGGGCACAGATCTGAAGCTAATATTTTTGTCCCCCGCTTTCGCGAAAGCTAGGGGACATTAAATCTCATTCGTCTGTCTGTCACTCCGTTAGTCTGTCCGTCCGTCACAAAAACTTTAACCTTGCCCATAACTTTTGATTAAGTGGAGCTATGACTTTCATATTTCACATGTATATTTCTTGTGACAAGATCTGTTTTTGGGTACCACCAAATTTGACCTTTTGACCTTGACCCACTTTTACACAAAAATTCCAAACTTTTACTTTGGCCATATCTCTTGAATGATAAAAACTAGGACTTTTATATTTCACATATGTCTTTCTTGTGGCAAGGCCTTTCATTGGATACCAACAACCTTGACCTATTGACCTTGACCTTGGAGATTTCTGTACTTGTGAAAAAACTTTAACCTTGGTCATAACTTTTGAACGGTAAGGGATATGGCTTTCATACTTCACAAACGTAATTCTTGTGAAAAGACCCTTCATTGGATACAAAGAACTCTGACCCTTTGACCTTGACCTTGGAGTTAACTTCCTTTTAAAAAACAAACCTTGACCATAACTTTTAAAGGGTTACATTGGCTTACTTTCCGAATTTCACAATTATTTTCCAGTGAAAATACCTTACTTTTGGTACAATTGGTTAAATTTGCATTTAAGAAAAGTTTAATCTTTGCTATGTTGCCATACGGGGGCATCAGTGTTTCACAAACACATCTTGTTTTTTCTATATTTTACCCCAGGGAACTACATTAGTTCAATATGCACTACATTACTCTCTGTGCTTTTGTAAAGGAAACAGAAATAGATGTTTGATTATTTCTTAATTTGATAATTATATAAAGTTATTTGTCTAATCATTTGAGTGATTATTATTGAAAGCGATTCTCAAGATATCTATTCATGAACTGTCAATTTTCAATATGCATTTTGATTTCATATTACGTGTAATTTCTTCATATTTAGGAAAGAAAAGTGCATTATTTTGTAGAAAAAAGAGCCTATAGGCCCACATTACTCACTTAAGCACATTGGCCTTGAAAGAACAGAAATCAGATCAGTTTGAAATGTCTATGAGAGACAAACTTGAATTTACAATACCCGAAGATGCTTCCATTTCAATATTACTAATCACAGTTTTGTTGTTCTTAAGGGGAAGAATTTTCAAAATACTTTTTCCAAATATTCTTTTGTAAACTTTCACCCCTTGTTGTGGCTCTGAACTACCCTCGGGTGTCATCAAATCTACACTACGTAAGGATACTTCTGTATTAATACATGTATGACTAATAACGGTTTTGCTGTTCTTAAGAAGAAATAAAATATTTGGGCCCCTGTTGTGTCTGTGCCCAACCACAGGGGTCATGTTTTGAAGAAACTTGATTTTACACTACCTGATGATACTTCTCTATATGTCAAAATATTGCCTTAACGGTTCTTGAGAAGATTTTTTAAGATATATGTATTTCCTATATATTCAGATTGTATACTAATAATACTAATATACCCACCTGTTGTGGCTCTGTCCTACCCACAGGGGTCATGATTTGAATAACATTGAATCTCCATAAACCGAGGATACTTCTATGCCTTATCATGGTTTTGCTGTTCTCGAGAAGAAGAAGACTTAAAAAGACGTTTACTATACATTCACACATTAAACTTTGAACTCCTCTTGTGGAAAGTTATGGTGAAATGGTTCTTAAGAAGTTACAAATGTGAAAAGTCTACAGACAGGCAGACAGGCACTGAGGCAGATACCAAATAAAATGTTAACAGAAAAGCATATATACACCAATGAAATGTTTCTCGAATTTAAAGCTGCAGAAATTTTTTAAATAAGAATTTTTAAATGATGAATAAATCTCAATGATAATAATTTTTTTTAAACCCAAAACATTAGTAAATTTCAAAAGTTGGTTATATTACGCAGTTGCTAAGCAACACTAGCTTCAAAGCGTACTCATGGTAACCATAAAAATATACAGTTTCTTAAATTATGAATTTTAAAGCTTTCTGTGTGTTTGCTTATTGCAATGCTCGCAAAAGTATTATTAGCAATTATTAATGGAAGCTAAAATTTCAAATATTTTGGTCACAGATAGTTGGCTTTCTGGTCAATGTGCATTAAGTTGCCATGGCAACTCAAGTATAATTTAATTATGGAATCTTGTCATCCATACAAATGTTTTGTTACATAATAATATGGTATCTGAAGCTATTTATTTTTTATTTATAATGTCTTTTGTGGAAGATCTCATTTCAGCCCTAAATATTTAGCGAAAAAAATGCCTGAATGTAATAGTAAACTGTAGATACAAAAGTGGTCGTTAAGTGTTCAGAATTGTACCTATGGGTTAATAAAGTACCAAAATAACTTTATTAGACCAATATTAAATTGACATTTATACCCAATCACATTTTTAAGAAAAAATATCTATTCATATCTATCAAAATCTATACCAAAAAGGCCAAAAAATAACTGTTTTTGCATTGTTGCTAGGGAAAATTTTCTGTTGCCATGGAGATTAATAATCATAAATTATTCTTTCGTTTTAAAATTATATGAGAGTTATTTTCTATTACTTTAAAAATTGTATCTGCCACAATAAGATAAAAAATTATAAGATTTTTGACCCAACCCATTACCATTTTTCACTTTTTAGCTATCAAAACATCCAATTTTGTTGCTAGGCAACGAACAGGATTTTTCAAAAAACCCACGCTTTCAAAGTCAATCTGTAAAAGAGAAAGTTCTCTGCTTTTATGTGAAAGTCATGCAAAATCTGTATTAGCTTGGTATTTTTTTTAAATTTACCTTGAATATTGTCAAAATCAAGGAAAATGCTGAATCAGCAAAAATGCAAAAACATACATAGATTCTAATGTCTACCATAGTACTAGCTTCCGATAAAATATCAATGTCTTGTGTGTTTTAAACAAATGCAGTGTGTGTCTTTATCATACCAGTAAATGAGAATTATTGTTAAAGATTTGATACATAATTTCAGGCTTTAAAGATCAGAGATTTTCAGTGCCTTCAAATAGAAAAATTGGCTGGTTGCTAAGGAAATTACTTTGATCAGGTTTCCATAGTAACCATGATCCAAAACATTTTTTTATTTTACATACATGGATAATAGGTCAAGAGAAATCTATGTGTGGAAAATCATTGAATTCTGAGAACCTGAGTGAATCACTCAAATATCACTTTTGCATGATTTTTACACGGACTAGTTAACTGAATCAATATTTTGACCTTGACCTCACTTTTCTTAAATTAGTGTTTAGTTCAGTTTTTAAAGAAACAATTCAAGGTAGTGTAATCCAACTTTAAATCCTGATACATACTGATGTAAATTTGCAACTGTATCTACATTTTTTTTACCTTTATCTTTCCTTGACCTTTACCTCACTATTCTAAAATTAGTGTTTAGTTCAGTTTTAAAGAAGCTTTCAAGTAATTGCTTTTCCTTTGACTCTACTTTTCTTGAATTTGTTTAAATCTCAGTTAAAAAAAGCAGTCCTGAAAATTGAATCTTTTTTTCCACAAAAAAAGGCATCATTAATATGGCATTAATATTTTTTGACCTTGCACTTTCCTGTGACCTTGACCTCACCTCTCTTTAATGTTCATTTTGCATTAATTTTAAAGAAACCTAAGGTGTATTTATATAAACTTATGCACCTAGGCATTTTAAAGAAAATACACAAATGTATTCAAGATATACCCATCAAATTTCATAATCTATTTCCATGTTGCATCACTAACATGCACTTGTTGGGGCATTCATGTCCTATTTATCTTAAGTACCAAAATATTTCATTGTAAATCTTTGACTCCATCTCTATTGTGGCCCATCTGGCCCCCATGCAGTCTTAGTGGGTGTGTTCCCATTTTGCACACATTTGGTAATTAGTATAGAACAACAGGTGTGAAGGGTGTTTTGATAGCAATTATAGTCTGATTTCTGGTTTGGATTTACCTGTGAATATCTGATTTAGCTTAATGTATTCTTAAGAGGTTTAATACAATTTTATAAGCATTTTATTAAAATTCCATATATATTCATGGGAAAATATTTGATTTTATTGAATAAATTATTAATATTTGTTTCATATTATTTATCATTAAATCCAATTTCTTAAAAAAAGAATATGTACTTTTCAATCTTGATATAATTCTAAATGAATCAAAGATATAACATATAATAAAGAAAATAGTGAATAAAAATCAATTTGAAAAGATGTTATAATAAGATCATCAGATAATCAAATACATTAACTTTGTATTTATTCTCTTATTTTTTTCACAATACGTTCATCTTTCACATACTTACTAAGCTAAGTACATGAATAGTATAGACTATAGCAATTAAGTAATTATTTCACCTGGTCAAATTCCCGTTTTTAAATTAAATCCCATACAAATTAAATTTTATATATACTCAACAAAAAAAGAAACGCATATTCAGATTAAATATGAAAATCTGAGTTTTCAGTTTAACCTTATTTTATTAAAAGTGTTTTTAGAGTGTGTTCTGATAAAAATCAAACATGTCCTGTTCCAAATTGAAAAGTCAAGTTGATGTCATTTTCATCGCCCCCAAATTTAAGGGGCATAATAATATGTACTGTGTGATGTCTCAGTCCTAGTGGGTTTCCAATGTACGGTTGTCGCGGACAAATACCAGCTCCTCCCAGTCTCTTGCGAACAATTTGTGAACTTTTATGCTGATCGATTTCTTCAACCAGCAATTGTAGCAACAGTTTGTACAGCAGTTCTGAATCGATTGTTAAAGGGGGGTCTGACGGACATTTCTGGGTGTGGTATCTATTGACGGCCAGTTTTTGGTCTGTATTCCGTGTTCTTAGCTGGTGGAGACATATGTTAAACCGCTGCAAAGCCAATTGATGTACTCTAAATGCAATTGCAACTTCCTGTTGCGTAGCACCGGTTATCATCGTAGTTAGCCCGTGTTGCGCTCATCTTTGTTAAGGCGTGACATTGCAGCATCAACATTTTTAGCTCACCTCAACAAAGTTGGGGGAGCTTATGTAATACATTGTACCCTCGGCGTCGGCGTCCCAGGTTAAGGTTAAGTTTTTTGGAGCAGTTTTCTTTTTAAGTACTTCTATGTCCTATATTGATTATACATGCATGGAAGATGCTTCTAGAGTGTTTCATTATACCAGTCAAAGTTTCAGATGCTGCAATTTCAGCAAAGGAATGACCAGCTTAATGTTTTTGGAGCAGGTTAACATTTTTGGTGCAGGTCTCATTTCCAAGGAACTATAAGCCCTATGTTGACCAAACTTGCACAGATGATACATCTAAGGATGCACATTACCAGGCTTGCTTCGGATGCTAAATCTGACCTACATTTTCCGGTTGAGTGAACAGGTTAATGTTTTTGGTGCAGGTCTCATCTCCAAGTAACTATAAGCTCTATGTTGACCAAACTTGCATGGATGATACATCTAAGGATGCACATTACCAGACTTGCTTCGGATGCTGAATATGACCTACATTTTCTGGATGAGTGAACAGGTTAATGTTTTTGGTGCAGTTCTCATTTTCAAGTAATTATAAGCCCTATCTTGACCAAACTTGCATGGATGATACTTCTTAAGGTGTACACTACCAGGAATTTGTTGTAGAGATATTTGAGGTGGCATTGAAAGGTGTGTTGACATTTGTTGATTTTCAATGTCTTGAGGTTGTGAATTTAGGGAAATTTGTTGTATTGGCATCTGTTGAGTGTGTTGAATGTTGGAAGTTGGTTGAGTTTGAAGCTGCTGTTCAAATGCTGGCACCGGTAGCTGTTGGGTCCAAGGAGATGGCTGTGTGAAGTTACAGTCTTGTGTCCATGTTGTCATTGGTGTGTATGTTGGTAATGGTAAGCATGAGTAAGTTTCATCAACCTATGGGGAAATAATATAAATTCTAAAACTGCATGAAGATATATTTATAAAAATGAGTTTAATTGTTGTTTAAAAAATATAGGACTTTACCTGAGACTCTGTCTCTTGGAACTGGGAGATCATACTTCTCATGTAGCTTTGAACTTGTGGTCTTAACATCAATTTAAATAACTCAAGGACATCAGCAGGTGGTCGAGTGGCTTCAGAAGATGGAACTATTTATGAAGAAAATAAGGAATAAAAAAAAACTTTCTATGTTTAAGTAGTCTGCATTACTCTATACAGGAAAATATTTGCCCCCCATTTTATTTTGGCCACTTTTGCCCTTGTCACAAAAGAGCAAATATTTAAACAGGGCAAATTCTAAGAAAACAGTATTAATTTCTCTAAAACAGAACTGTGTCGGGGCATATTCAAAACAGGGTGAAATCATTTGCAGGTGTAAAAGGGTGAAAAATAACCCAGTATAAAGTATTGGTGCATATGAAATACCTGTTGTTGACATTGTCACAGATGGCCTTTCCAGCTCAGGATTACAGAGGGCCCAAGTTGACGTCAGACTTGTGTTGTCAGCACACCTATCTTCAGTTGCTGTTGTATTGTCAACGCACCTATCTTCAGTTGCTGTTGTGTTGTTAACACACCTATCTTCAGTTGCTGTTGTTTTGTCAACACACCTATCTTCAGATGCTGTTGGAGACCCAAACTGGTCACTTAAGGATGACAGCATTTCCTTTGCTGTTGCCAGCTGCACACTACTCTCTGCCTTCTTTTCATGTCTCTCTTTTTCTTTGGGTGTTTCTAATTCTGTTTTCTCTTTGCTCTTTTCTTCTGTCTTTTTCTTTCTCTCTGCTTTGTTTTTCTTTCTGTCATTCTTTTTCTTTCCTTCATCATTGTTCTTTTCGCCGTCATCCTTCTTTTCAGTTTTGTCATCTTTCTTTTCATTTGCTGTATTTTTCTTTTTCTTTTTGGGGCTCATTTCATTGTCTTGTTCATGACTTTCTTTAGCTCTTTCTGTCGGAATCCTTTCCCTTTTTCCATCTTTTTTCTGATTTTCATTTTCTGCCTTTTTGAAAAATGTGATTAATTGCTCTACACTTTCTTCTGCACTCAGGTTCTTGCCTCTCAAAACCTTCTTCTCTGCCTTTACAGCTTCTGCTTCAAGAAGATCTTGGTTTTCTATAAAAAAAGACATATCAAAAGTCTTACTCAAGTTATTTGAAAACATGAAAGCCCATCTGACAAGTTTCTAAAGACACCAATCACTATTTGATTTGGTTTGTGTGTGTGGGGGGGGGGGGGTGATTTGGGAAATAAATAATTTGTCCTTTAAAAATAAAAGAGGATATAAATAATTATCATCAGCTAGCAAAAAAATAATCTGCCCTTGACAAGTGCCATTACATTATTATTTCCGATTAACCATTTTTTTTTTTATTTTCTTGTCATTTTTTTCAGTTCTAGTGAAGAAGATAATTTGACCTAGATCATTCTATGAATAAATAAATAAATAAATAAATAAATAAATAAATAAATAAATAAATAAATAAATAAATAAATAAATAAATAAATAAATAAATAAATAAATAAAATGTCCTTGTTTAGCATGAAAAAAAAACCTGTCTGATTGAAAAAAAAAGTGTAACCCCCCCCCCCCCTAAAAAAAAATGGTAGTCCCATAAGCATAATATGATAATTAGTTGTAAAAAGCTTATTTTTTCCCTGTTTAAAATTGAAATAAAAATGTTAATCATTTGACTTTATTTGTTTGCACACGAAAATCACTGCGGCTTGAAAAGAGTACCTTATATCATTATCAATTATAACGTTATGTAAATCTCGATGTAAACAAAACAACACTAAACAAGTTTTCCTACGTAAAAGAGTTCCACTGTTGATCGCGATGTTCAACCAGACACTCGGCTGTCTCCGTAACTCCGAGGAGCTCGTCGGAGTTTACGGAGACAGCCGAGTGTCTGGTTGAACTATCGGAAGATTCGAGCGTTTTCACAGCCAGCAACATGAGCAATGGGGGTTCCGAAAAGCAGAATTTGAATTTTTTAGGAGCGGAAACATGGGTTAAATTTCCTGAAGTAAAATCGATGCCATACTGATCCTGAACACACATATACATCATTCTGTAACATTATGATTAAAATAATTAAAGTATTCTCACTTTGATAACCACTATATACAAACTGGTTTATCTGTCTATCCCAAATTTAACCCGTAAACCGTCTCACATTTTAAATCAATATTAAGTATTAACCTGTTTACAGTTTAAAAGTATATAAGTTTAATATATTGAAGAATAAGAAACTTTCTTACCATGCACATAGACAATAACTCCCGAGAAAATGTCTTTTCCCCACTTCATGTTAACTTTTTCTCCCTCTTGAAAAGATCCCAAAAGTTCCAGTCGTTTAGACTTCTCCCCAACAACACTTAAACTCGTATCCTCGTGGAAGAAAACGCATCCGAACATATTTAGAATTCAAGTTTAACACAGACTGAATGTGACAAAGAGTACAGCAAACTTTCGTGTTATCAAAATGTCTGTCGAGGCTTTTCCTGAACAAAGAAACTATAAGCGCGTAAACAGCTGGGGGTCAGCAATGGCCAGCATCACATGGCATCACGATAAGATTTCAGTGGGTCAGACTACATCTGGTCAAGGGCACCCCATGGGTTATATATGCGGTGCAAACAGACTTAAACGTTTTGATTAATACGTATAACAAGTCATATAACAATTAACAAACACAAGTATTGAATATTTACATATTAACATAATCATTTGTAAAACGTAATACCCACTTTTCTTTTGAATGCATATTATTTTAAAAAAGATCATCCTTTAGAATGTATGTGTACATAATAAATACCCCTTGAGTACCCTAATCGGTCACTTCAGAATCCTTGTCTGGTATTGAGTTACAGATATATCGTAAATTGCACTGAGAACAAGTAAAAAAAAAAATGGACGGCGACAAAAATAAGCAAAAGCGTAAAGCTACAGGGAAAAGAGGTCCCTACAAAAAGTTTGTTCTTGAAGAAGAAAAAAGTTGCAGCTTTGAGCCCTTTCAAGGGAATGAAGATTTATCGGATTCTGAGCAGATGTCGAGTGAGACGGTAACGAAACTGGATACCGATTTTCCCGAATTTTCGGACTTGAACAAAGTTGATTTTCCTCAGCCTGAAAAATCAGCTGCCTGTGGTGAACCCTCTGTGAGCAAATTTCAGGATGAATACCAAATCGAAGAGGTATGAATATCCCCCCCCCCCTTCCTGTTAAAAAATAATTATATAATTTTAAAAAACTTTTTGTTATTGAAAATACATTTTATTTGTAAAATCTCGATTAAAAAAATATAAATACATATACATTAAGCCTTAAAACTTTATTTATAATATGAAATTAAGAAACGTTACTTTGTTGACTTCGTAGTATGTCGAATGCGTCCCTGACCGAATTGATTAAGATGACTGCAACATCCGGTTTCAATTGAGTCAATATGATTGTGACATTAGCAATGTTTTTACGACTGTAAATATTTTTTGTGTAAGTTCTTTAGCTATTGTGTAAATGGTCATCTAAAAAGTTATTTGAATAATTTCTTATTTGTATAATTTTATTCAAAAACCTGCATATTGCCTCAGTTCGAATTTCCTCGAAATTAAGGAACGGCGCCTACTAAAGGTTTATAAGACAATATTTTACGTTTTTATTTAATCCATGACTTTTGTAAATTTCAGATATTGGTTGATCCAGATCAAGATGTGGTTTCATCGTACACAGCAGAAGAAATTACCGTGGAAACGACTGGAATACAATTTAACTTTGTACAAACGCATGAAAAAGAGCTGATGACCAACTTCAACTTGGAGTCGGAATCAGTTGAGGATTTAACTGACGATGACCAACCATTGCCTGAGGAAGATTTTGATTTGCAGTGTGATCAATTAGAGGACCTTCATATTACAAATGAGGAAGAGCATTCTTTAGATCAGGATGCAGAAGACAATGATGTTGATTCGGATCCACTCTATCCTGGGGCCGCAGTGACATTAGGCGCATTTATGCTGCTGCTGGCCATATTTACTACCAAGTATAATCTGATTGGAGAGGCAACAGAACAACTCCTTAAGATCTTGGCCTTGGCCCTCCCACATGGTCATAAACTCTGTGCATCTTTATATGAATTTAAGTTATTTTTCAAGAATCTGAGGAATCCACTTGTTCGTCACTACTACTGTAATTACTGTCTTGGATATATAGAAAACACTACTGTGCAAAGCTGTCCTTATGAATTTTGCAAATCTAAATTCAGTGTTAAAAATAACTCCTATTTCATTGAAATGCCTTTAGAACACCAAATAAAAAATTTATTTGCCCAGAAAGATTTTTATGAAAGTTTAGGACATAGATTCAAAAGGAAATCCTGTGATAACACCTATGAAGATATCTATGATGGGAAATTATACAAGCAATTAAGTGAAAATAATGGAATTTTGAGTTTTCAAGAAAACATATCTTTTACTTTCAATACTGATGGAGCTCCTGTTTTTAAAAGCAGCAAGACAGCAATTTGGCCGATTTACCTCGTCATTAATGAATTACCCTACAAGCAGAGGATGCTGAAGGATAACATGATACTAGCAAGCCTGTGGTATGGAAGCAAAAAACCATCAATGGGGACATTTTTAAAACCATTTCTAAATTCGCTACAGAAAATGAAAGAAGGTATTAAATGTACATCACCTGAAAGAGGCCAGTTTCTGTGTAGAGGTCTCTTATTGTGCGGAACAGCTGACCTCCCAGCCAGAAGTTTGCTCTGTAATCATGTCCAATATAACGGAGCATTTTCTTGTTGGAAATGTGAACAAGAAGGTGAGACGGCTTCTGTAGGGCGTGGTCATGCGAGGATATTTCCATTCCAAAGTGAAGAACCCAAAGGACCGATACGAACAAAGAAAAACGTTTTAGAAAATGCCAGGATAGCAGTAGAAGACCAACACATTGTAATGGGAAAGCCAGTTAAAGGTATAAAGGGACCATCATGGCTTTTCTTTGTGCCTAATTTTAACATAGTATCTGGCATTGCCATTGACTACATGCATGGTGTCTTATTAGGGGTGCAGAAGATGCTATTAGAACTATGGTTTAGTGAGAAGCACAAAGGGAAAGCTTATAATTTTTGCAACAGTGTTTGTGAAGTAGATTTGAGGCTTCAAAATATTAAACCTACTCTGGACATTACAAGACTTCCGCGATCTATAGAAAAAGACTTGAAATATTGGAAGGCATCTGAATATAGATCATTTTTGTTATTTTTTGGTGCTCCAGTTCTGCATGGAATTTTAGACATGCAAAGATTTTCTCACTTCCTGTTGCTTGTAGACTCGATGCACATTCTTCTGAAATTCGGCTCAAACGAAAAAGATTTAGAGAGAGCTGAAATGCTTTTATTTGAGTTTTGTAGGCGTTTAGAAGAATTGTATGACCGATGTTTCTTAAGATTAAATGTCCATCAACTGCTCCATTTACCAGATTGTGTTAGGGATCTTGGCCCTCTCTACACCCATAGCTGCTTCTCTTTTGAAAGTAAAAATGGAATTATTTTAAAAATGATCAGAGGGAGTCAGAGTATCGATACTCAGATAATAACTGCAATATCATTTATACAAAAGCTTCCTGAATTAAAACAAAAATGTGTTGCAGAAAATTCAGAGGTTGATAAATTATGCAAAGCTATTCAAGAGCCATCTTTGCTTAAGAGGGGTCAAAAACTGGGGAAGGGGATATACATTCTTGGTGCTCCATGCAATAGAGTATTAAAAAATGTTGAGACTGCTGCACTCCAAGATTATTTGAAACATGACCCTGCTTGTGATACATATAGAAGTTTTAACAGAGTAGAATATGGATCATATATAATTTATGGCACTGAATATTCTAGAATGATCAAAAGAAACAATTCAGCAATTTGTTACAATGGAAAGAATGATATTAGCTTTGGAGAAGTTATGTTTTTTATTCTGTTTGAGGATAACACTGCAGGTATGACAAAACCTCTTGTAATCATTAAGAAATTAATTTGCAGAAATTACAATGTTAACTCTAATATCTTAGCAGTTACTGGTACAAATGATGTTGAAGTTGTTGATATAAATGACATACTGTCAAGTTGTATGCTTGTGTCTTTTCCTGGAGGGCAGACCTCATTCATTTGTAAATTTCCAAACAGATTAGAATCTGACTGAAATTATCAAGAATTATATGTAGCTCAGAGTTTGTGTATTTTAAGAAGATTATTGAACTAAATGTTTTTATGTGGACTATGTTTCTCACTGATCATATGTTTTTTTGTGTTTGAAATATATTTCCATGTAATTCTGTGTCATTCTTCCACAATCAAGAAACCCAGTGTTGGAGAAATGTACAAAGTTTGACGCCATATTATAAAATTGTGATTTTTTGGTGGAAACAACATTCCAAAAATAAAAATAAAACAATTAATATTATTGAAATCAGATAAGTCTTGTATTTTTTTTTTTTTTTTTTTTTTTACAATTTACCTGTACTTTACAAATGTTATCACATAACTTAAAACTCAAGTTTAGTTAGTATGTTATTTGAATACCAGGGGATTATACTTTGTTAATATCAGCAAAGGTCATTTTATGAAAATGCAAAGATTTGACCTGTCTGATCAACAAAATTAACTAAGTTCAACATTTCGCTTCACTGAAATATCTATGTTCAACATTCCGCCTAAGTGACCAGGCTGAAATTTTCTAAGTTTTTTTTCCTGGTTATTCATAAAGTACGCCTAAAGAGACAGGCGGAATCCGCTTCAAGGTTTAAGCGGATTCAGCCTCGTCTTAGACGGAATTTTGATGTCCGCTTAATATCCTCCTAAGGTTAAGAGGATTTAGATGGATTCCGTGTACTTTCCGCCTGAAATTCAGACGGAATCCGCCTAATAATTTCGTACGGGAATTTTTGCACCTGAGATTCATTAAATAATTGTCCCCAACATCCTTAAGTCTGGTGATCTAAATCCCCTTATTTCTGAAAATATGAAGCATTATCTCCCTTACTCCAGAGCAGTCAAGAATAACACACAAAGCACTCTGGAAGCAGTTTTTTGTGCATCTTTTGAAGCAGAATTTCATCATTAAAAGAATAACCTTGGCAACCAATTTTTTATCTGTGGAGAGTACATGCTTTGTTCTTCACAACAAACAAAAAAGAGGTTACAAGTCTAAGACCATTATGTAATTATTACATAACAAAGTTGCATTTTCCCCTTCAAAGAATGAACAAAAATACAGAAATTGTCAAATTTTGGGTTGATAATGAAAACTGTATCTGGTCAATTTATGTTCCAAATAAAGCCTAGGTATTTGTCTACAAGCTGCTGTGCAGAAGTTTATCTAAATGCTGTGTTGTAACTCAGGGCAGTCCAAATGATATCAGCATCTAGGGAGGTTCTTGACAGCTCCAACACTCCAATAAACTGGCTTTGATGATAAGAAAATGGAGACAACAATTCAGATGTAATTTATTGTTGTGATTTATGTAACTGGCTTTCTCTTAAGACACAAATTAGCCATGAAATTTCAATTTCACATGCATAATTATTCTCTTTTCATGGATTGACTCAGGAATTCCAAAGGTGTTTAATGAATTTCCATGATTTATGCAAGATTACATCTTTTTGTTTCACAAATTTTACATAAAAAATAACAATTTAAATTTTAAAATATAACTATTAAACATTTCTATGGGTTTGAACACTTTTATATGTGACAAAATGCATCACAGAGACCAGTTTCAGGACATTCTCCATGATTCTCTGAGGTGGGTGGGTGTACAAAAACTGCTGATAAAATTTATAGGAGGTGATCTGAGAAGAAAGGTTCACCTTATTAGCTGAATTATAGTTATTCTGATATTTTAATTATGTAAATATGCAAAATTTCTTCATCAGTTAAATTTGCAATTTATTAATATTTCAGTACAATGATATCCTTAATAGATCATGCTCATATAAGCATCACTGACTGAGACTTAAATCAAAAGTGACAGTCAACACCTACATATAAATGAAAAAATAACAAAAAACAGTCTCCGACAAACTGAAAAAACATCAATGTCAGCTGCGAAAGCTTGAATAAAGTCCTGAGAACCACAAGAGTCAAGCCATGGTGCTAAGTGACATTCTGGACTACATGTATGATGCATGGTTAGACCTCAGAATAAGTATTATCATGCAGACTCTGACAGTATTTAAGGATTTTTTGGTCATAACCTTCCTTCCTGTGAAAACATTTTAAGGAATTTTACTTATGTAGCTTATGTATGAAGTTTATTAGACAGATCAGACTCATTTCATTATTTCTTTTCTTCCAATGCAGTAATATATGTATCAATGGAGGTGTGAATAAATTAAAATAAATCATGTGTCTGTAGAAATTATAATTCTGTGAGAACATATTTACTTGTTTACATTTTATCGCAGTTGTCGCTTGTGATGAAAATTCATTCGCAAACATAGAATTAGTCTATTCTTGAAAAATCAGCTTTAACACCCTTTACCGCAAAGTCTGTAGATACTAAAATTGACTGCGGTCAGCTGGTGCAAATAATGTTAAGTCATATAAAATGAAAAAAACAACATTCATTGACTTCTATCTACATTTTAGATGCATAATGCTATCTTTTCACTCATATTTTAAAGTATTGAGTGTAAAAAATAACCTATTGTTAATTTTTACACAGAAATCTGTGAAAAATAATGTAAATTCTAATTCTAATTTTAAAATTGTGTTTTTTCTGACAAAAAGTTAATAAAATCACATATTCTGTTGAAATATGCCTTTTAAAAATGAAAAATGTCTTTAATAAGGGTTTAAATGATTTTTCATAATCACCTTCAAGGACCTTTGAAGGTGTTCAATTTTTTTCATTTTTGCACCTGAGATTCATTAAATAATTGTCCCCAACATCCTTAAGTCTGGTGATCTAAATCCCCTTATTTCTGAAAATATGAAGCATTATCTCCCTTACTCCAGAGCAGTCAAGAATAACACACAAAGCACTCTGGAAGCAGTTTTTTGTGCATCTTTTGAAGCAGAATTTCATCATTAAAAGAATAACCTTGGCAACCAATTTTTTATCTGTGGAGAGTACATGCTTTGTTCTTCACAACAAACAAAAAAGAGGTTACAAGTCTAAGACCATTATGTAATTATTACATAACAAAGTTGCATTTTCCCCTTCAAAGAATGAACAAAAATACAGAAATTGTCAAATTTTGGGTTGATAATGAAAACTGTATCTGGTCAATTTATGTTCCAAATAAAGCCTAGGTATTTGTCTACAAGCTGCTGTGCAGAAGTTTATCTAAATGCTGTGTTGTAACTCAGGGCAGTCCAAATGATATCAGCATCTAGGGAGGTTCTTGACAGCTCCAACACTCCAATAAACTGGCTTTGATGATAAGAAAATGGAGACAACAATTCAGATGTAATTTATTGTTGTGATTTATGTAACTGGCTTTCTCTTAAGACACAAATTAGCCATGAAATTTCAATTTCACATGCATAATTATTCTCTTTTCATGGATTGACTCAGGAATTCCAAAGGTGTTTAATGAATTTCCATGATTTATGCAAGATTACATCTTTTTGTTTCACAAATTTTACATAAAAAATAACAATTTAAATTTTAAAATATAACTATTAAACATTTCTATGGGTTTGAACACTTTTATATGTGACAAAATGCATCACAGAGACCAGTTTCAGGACATTCTCCATGATTCTCTGAGGTGGGTGGGTGTACAAAAACTGCTGATAAAATTTATAGGAGGTGATCTGAGAAGAAAGGTTCACCTTATTAGCTGAATTATAGTTATTCTGATATTTTAATTATGTAAATATGCAAAATTTCTTCATCAGTTAAATTTGCAATTTATTAATATTTCAGTACAATGATATCCTTAATAGATCATGCTCATATAAGCATCACTGACTGAGACTTAAATCAAAAGTGACAGTCAACACCTACATATAAATGA